TTCTTTCTCTCCTTCCTTCCCTCCCTCTTTCATTCCTTCCCTCTTTTTTCTTTCCCTTCCCTTCTTCTTTCTTCCTTCTTTACCTGTTTCTTTTCTCGCTTCCCTTGCTCTTTGGTTCCTTCCTTCCTTCCTTCCTTCCCTCTTTCTCTCTTTCGTTCCTTCTCTCCTTCCTTCCATCTTTTATTTCCTTCTCTCCTTCCTTCCTTCTGTCCCTCTTTCATTCCTTCTCTCCTTCCTTCCCTCTTTCACTTTTTTATTTCCTTCTCTCTTTCCTTCCTTCTCTACCTTTCTTTCTTTCATTCTCTCTTTCTTTCCCTCTTTCTCTCCCTCCTACTCTCCTTCCTTCCTTTCCCCTTTCTGTGTATGTGTTTTGTGTGTGCATATATCTGTGTATATATTTCTGTATATGTATACATAGGTGGTTTTGTGCATGCGTTGTAATGTATTTTTTGTTTTTTGGCTTTTCAAGTCCCTTCCGCTGTATTTTTCAGTGTTTTTATGAGTGATGGTCACTCGTTGGCCAGATAGGTGTATTATGTCCAAATTTGGTGTCAATTCATCCAGTGGTTTTTTGAGTTATGTAAATCCCACAAACGAACATTACATTTTTATTTATACAGATATTGTTATTAGTGTTGATATAATTTACTTGTATTTTTATGTGTTTTCTGTAAGCTGCCCCGAGACCCTTCTGGCAGATGGTGGCAAGACATAAATAAACCACACTACCTCTGAGGATGCTTGCCAAAGTGCAGGCGAAACGTCAGAAGAGAATGCCTCTAGACCATGGCCATACATCCCGAAAAAACCTACAACAACCCAGTGATTCCGGCCATGAAAGCCTTCGACAATACATAAATAAAGCTATTATTATTATTTATTATTATGTATGGGGGGGTGGTGTCAGTGGTCATCACAGTGATATGGGGGAAAAGGTCGCTCATTTGCCCCTCTCGTTATTTGGAGGAGATAATGAGTTCCTGGTGGAAGGTGCTGAGGCAGGGAGTTCCCATGTCGCATCTGCAATGCTTTGGTTCTCATAAGTAGAGAAGGCCTGGGCCAACTTGGGCCCTCCCTCCTTCCCTCCCTCCAGGTGTTTTGGACTCCAACTCCCACAATTCCTAACAGCCTAGGACGGAGCCAAAGGGCCAAATGAGTGGGTGGGACGGTTCCGAAGGGAAGCCCACCCCCACCACCCAAACTTGTCCTTGGAGCAGGAAACGTGCGCAATGGAAGGAGCCATTGGACTAGATGTCCATGCCGTCTCTTCCAACTCTTATGATTCGATGATTCATCCATCCTTTCTCCCCAGGGATGAGCGGTCACTGCGTCTGTCCTTGGGCCCCAAAGGCCTTTCCTGCTGGTGAAGGACACTTCTGGGAAAGAAAAGGTCACTTCCCACATGGGAGACCCTTACCCCCCCCCCACAGTTAGCAGGCCAAGAGACCCCCCCCCAAAAAAAACACAGCTTATTTGAGTGATGGTAAAGGACGCTTCTGAGATAGAAAAGGTCACTTCCCACATGGGAGACCCTTACCCCCCCCCCCCACAGTTAGCAGGCCAAGAGACACCCCCCCCAAAAAAACACAGCTTATTTGAGTGATGGTAAAGGACGCTTCTGAGATAGAAAAGGTCACTTCCCACATGGGAGACCCTTACCCCCCCCCCCCACAGTTAGCAGGCCAAGAGACCCCCCCCCAAAAAAACACAGCTTATTTGAGTGATGGTAAAGGACGCTTCTGAGATAGAAAAGGTCACTTCCCACATGGGAGACCCTTACCCCCCCCCCCACAGTTAGCAGGCCAAGAGACCCCCCCCCAAAAAAAAACACAGCTTATTTGAGTGATGGTAAAGGACGCTTCTGAGATAGAAAAGGTCACTTCCCACATGGGAGACCCTTACCCCCCCCCCCCACAGTTAGCAGGCCAAGAGACACCCCCCCCAAAAAAACACAGCTTATTTGAGTGATGGTAAAGGACGCTTCTGAGATAGAAAAGGTCACTTCCCACATGGGAGACCCTTACCCCCCCCCCCCACAGTTAGCAGGCCAAGAGACCCCCCCCCAAAAAAACACAGCTTATTTGAGTGATGGTAAAGGACGCTTCTGAGATAGAAAAGGTCACTTCCCACATGGGAGACCCTTACCCCCCCCCCCCACAGTTAGCAGGCCAAGAGACACCCCCCCCAAAAAAACACAGCTTATTTGAGTGATGGTAAAGGACGCTTCTGAGATAGAAAAGGTCACTTCCCACATGGGAGACCCTTACCCCCCCCCCCACAGTTAGCAGGCCAAGAGACCCCCCCCCAAAAAAAAACACAGCTTATTTGAGTGATGGTAAAGGACGCTTCTGAGATAGAAAAGGTCACTTCCCACATGGGAGACCCTTACCCCCCCCCCACAGTTAGCAGGCCAAGAGACCCCCCCCCAAAAAAAAACACAGCTTATTTGAGTGATGGTAAAGGACGCTTCTGAGATAGAAAAGGTCACTTCCCACATGGGAGACCCTTACCCCCCCCCCCCCACAGTTAGCAGGCCAAGAGACACCCCCCCCAAAAAAACACAGCTTATTTGAGTGATGGTAAAGGACGCTTCTGAGATAGAAAAGGTCACTTCCCCATGGGAGACCCTTACCCCCCCCCCCCACAGTTAGCAGGCCAAGAACCCCCCCAAAAAAACACATCTTATTTGAGTGATGGTAAAGGACGCTTCTGAGATAGAAAAGGTCACTTCCCCATGGGAGACCCTTACCCCCCCCCCCCCACAGTTAGCAGGCCAAGAACCCCCCCAAAAAAACACATCTTATTTGAGTGATGGTAAAGGACGCTTCTGAGATAGAAAAGGTCACTTCCCCATGGGAGACCCTTACCCCCCCCCCCCACAGTTAGCAGGCCAAGAGACCCCCCCCCCAAACACATCTTGAGTGATGGGTTCTAGAGCACACCTGGGCAACTTGGGTCCTCCCACATGGGAGACCCTTCCCCCCCCCCCCCCACAGTTAGCAGGCCAAGAGACCCCCCCCCAAAAAAAACACAGCTTATTTGAGTGATGGTAAAGGACGCTTCTGAGATAGAAAAGGTCACTTCCCACATGGGAGACCCTTACCCCCCCCCCCCCACAGTTAGCAGGCCAAGAGACCCCCCCCCCCAACACATCTTATTTGAGTGATGGGTTCTAGTTATGGGAACCAAAGCATTGCAGATGCGACATGGGAACTCCCTGCCTCAGGAGGGAAAGTGTGCACACACCCCCCCCCCCCCCCACTTTCCAAGTCATGCTGTGCCCTTGGCTACTTGGAAAGTGCATCGCTTTGCCCCCTTACCATCACGCAATGAGAGAACTGGAGAGAGGAAATGTAGCCCTCTTGATTCTGCAGAAAGGCGTCGCAAGGAGACTGGCTTGAAAAAAGAGCAACCCCCCCCCCTTCCTCTTGGAGGGTGCTGGTCTTGTGGCCTCTGGGGGGACCTCTGCCTGCCCACGAGCTATGGTGTCCGTCTCCCCCCCCCCCCCAGTTTTGATCACGGGCTCCCTCCTCATCGATGCCGGGGATCGATAGGCAATCAATCCGTATTGATCCCCATCGAAGCGGGGAAGAGGCGAATGGTGTGTGCGGCGGCGGAGGGAGGGGGGGAGGGAGGGAGAAGAGGAGAAGGGGAAGGAGAAATATGGGGGGGGGGGCTCCAATCCAAGGCCACGCCCCTTCCTTCCTTTCCTATCTCTCTCTCTCTCTCTCTCTATTCCCCCCTCCCCTCCCCCGCCCCTCGGGGTATTCCGTGCGAAGCAGATGGCGACTTCGAGGGGGGGGGAGGGAAGGGGGGGAGAAGGAGGAGGAGGAGGGTCAGAGCGGCTCTCTTGCCGCCCCCGCAGCACCGAATGAGGGCGAAATCCGGAAAATGGGGGGGGGAGGAGGGGGGGCTCTGCTCCTCCTCCTCCATCACCACCACCTGCCCCCCCCCGCCAGTCACATGCCCGCCCTATAAATAGAAAGCGCAAAGCAGCGCCATCCCTCCCTCCATCCCTCCATCCTTCTCTCCATCCCTCCCTCCATCCTTCCTTCTCTCCATCCCTTCCTCTATCCCTCCATCCTTCCTTCCTTCTCTCCATCCTTCTCCTCCATCCTTCCTTCTCTCCATCCTTCTCTCCATCCCTTCCTCTATCCCTCCATCCTTCCTTCCTTCTCTCCATCCTTCCTTCTCTCCATCCCTTCCTCTATCCCTCCATCCTTCCATCCTCCTTCCTTCTCTCCATCCTTCTCTCCATCCTTCCTTCTCTCCATCCTTCTCTCCATCCCTTCCTCTATCCCTCCATCCTTCCTTCCTTCTCTCCATCCCTCCATCCTTCTCTCCATCCCTCCTTCCTCCTCTCCATCCTTCTCTCCATCCCTTCCTCTATCCCTCCATCCTTCCTTCCTTCTCTCCATCCTTCTCTCCATCCTTCCTTCTCTCCATCCTTCTCTCCATCCCTTCCTCTATCCCTCCATCCTTCCTTCCTTCTCTCCATCCCTCCATCCTTCTCTCCATCCTTCCTTTCCTCCATCCTTTGGAGATGCTCTCTCCCTCTATCCCTCCCCCTTTGGGACCGGAAGGGAGCCCCTCAGGCCAAGCTTCCTCCTCAAAGACCACCTTCGGGAGAGGGAACACCCCCCCCGCCTACCCGCCCCCTCCTTGCCCTTGCCGGAAATGCCCCCCCCCCGGCCTCGAAAGGAATGGCAGTCAATGGCCAAAGGGAAGAGAGAATGGAGGACAGAGAAGAAGCCCCCTCCCCTTGTTTCTCATCCCACTGGGAGAAAGAAGGGAAGGGGATGGGTGGGGGGCTCCCTCCTCCTCCTCCTCCTCCTCCTCCTCGCACAAAGCCCCCCCCCCTCTGATCCGCAGCCCCCTCCCCTTGTTTCTCTTCCCACTGGGAGAAAGGGTGGATGGGTGGGTATGGGTGGGGGGCTCCTTCCTCCTCCTCCTCCCTCTCTCCCTCCCTCCCCTCTCTTTCGTGTTCCCCCTCCCCATACCTGCAATGGGGGGAGGAGGGAGTGGGAGGGAGGGCGGGCGCGGGGACCCTCCTCTTCTGCTCCTGCTTCTTCTCCTCCTTCTCCTCCTTCTCCCTCTTTTCCTGCTTTCTGCACCAGGCTCGTCCTTCACTCTCGCGCTCCCTCTCTTCTCCGCCGCCTATAAAGGTGCGCAGAGGCCCCGCCCACCCCGGCAGGAAAGGCCACGCCCCTTCTCTGGCTTTGGGAGGGGGGAGGGAGGAGGGAGGGGGGAGAGGGCGCTCGGGGACAGCGCCGCGGGGGGCAAGGCCAGGGGGGGGGGGGAGAGGCAATGGACAGGCGAGGCATTCAGAGACCAGGCGAGCTGCCTCTCCAAAAAGGGACTGAAAGGATGCCTGGAGAGGGAGGGGGCCAAGCGGGGGGGGGGGGGGGCTGGGACCTGTTATTATTGGTATTATTTGTATCCTGCTTTATCTCTCCTGCAGGAGACTCAGAGCGGCCTCACATACAAGCATCAGAAACAATGGCTTCAAACTACAAGAAAGGAGATTCCATCTGAAGATGAGGAAGAACTTCCTGACTGTGAGAGCTGTTCAGCAGTGGAACTCTCTGCCCTGGAGTGTGGTGGAGGCTCCTTCTTTGGAAGCTTTGAAACAGAGGCTGGATGGCCATCTGTCAGGGGTGCTTTGAATGCAATATTCCTGCTTCTTGGCAGAATGGGGTTGGACTGGATGATGGCCCAGGAGGTCTCTTCCAACTCTTTGATTCCAGGATTCTATGATTATACATTATTATTATTATTATTATTATTATTATTATTATTATTATTTACACCCTGATTTAACTCTCCTGCAGGAGACTCAAAGCAGCCTAACATGAAAGCATCAGCATACAATTTAAATTATTATTATTATTCAGTTCTTGTGGGTTTTTTCGGGCTATATGGCCATGTTCTATAGGCATTTCTCCTGACGTACCTCTGAGGATGCTTGCCATAGATGCAGGCGAAACGTCAGGAGAATGCCTCTAGAACATGGCTCTATAGCCCGAAAAAACCTACAAGAACTGAGTGATTCCGGCCATGAAAGCCTTCGACAATACATTATTATTATTATTATTATTATTATTATTATTATATTATACATTATTATTTTTCATGCCCCTATTTATACCCCAACTTATCTCTCCTGCTGGAGACACAAATGACTTAACATAAACATACCACCATACAATTATTATTATTATTATTATTATTATTATTATTATATTAAAGTCCTATTTATCTCTTCTGTAGAAGACCCAAAGCAGCTTAACATAAAAGAATCAGCATACAATTATTAATTATTATTATTATTATTATTATTATTTACACCCTGATTTAACTCTCCTGCAGGAGACTCAGAACGGCCTAACATAAAAGCATCAGCATACAATTTAAATTATTATTATTATTATGTATTCTGTATTATATTATACATTATTATTATTATTATTATTATTATTAATGCCCCCATTTATACCTCACCTTATCTCTCCTGCAGGAGACACAAAGTGACTTAACATAAATGTACCACCATACAATAATAATAATAATAATAATAATTATTATTATTATTATTATTATTATTATTATTATTTACACCCCTGCTTTATCTCTTCTGTAGAAGACCCAAAGCAGCTTAACATAAAAGAATCAGCATACAATTATTATTATTATTATTATTATTATTATTTACACCCCGCTTTAACTCTCCTGCAGGAGACTCAAAGCGGCCTGACACCAAAGTATCAGCATACAATTTAAATTATTATTATTATATACTATATATATATATATATATATATATATATATATATATTAATAATAATAATAAAAACCCCATTTATACCCCACCTTATCTCTCCTGCAGGAGACACAAAGCAACTTAACAAAAACATACAAGCATACTATTATTATTATTATTATTATTATTATTATTATTATATTAATGCCCTGCTTTATCTTTTCTGTAGAAGACCCAAAGCAGCTTAACATAAAAGAATCAGCATACAATTATTATTATTATTATTATTATTATTATTATTATTACTATTATTATTATATTAAAGCTCTACTTTATCTCTTCTGCAGGAGACCCAAAGCAGCCTAACATGAAAGCATCAGCATACAATTTAAATTATTATTATTATTATTATTATTATTATTATTATTATTATTGTAGTATACATTATTACTATTACTATTATTATTATTATTAATGCCCCTATTTATACCCCACCTTATCTCTCCTGCAGGAGACACAAAGCGACTTAACTAAAACGTACAAGCATACAATTATTATTATTATTATTATTATTATTATTATTATTATTATTTTAATGCTCTGCTTTATCTTTTCTGTAGAAGACCCAAAGCAGCTTAACATAAAATAATCAGCATACAATTATTATTATTATTATTATTATTATTATTACTATTACTATTACTATTATTATTATATTAAAGCTCTACTTTATCTCTTCTGCAGGAGACCCAAAGCAGCCTAACATGAAAGCATCAGCATACAATTTAAATTATTATTATTATTATTATTATTATTATTATTATTATTATTGTAGTATACATTATTTATACCCCACCTTATCTCTCCTGCAGGAGACACAAAGCAACTTAACTAAAACGTACAAGCATACAATTATTATTATTATTATTATTATTATTATTATTATTATTATTATTTTAATGCTCTGCTTTATCTCTTCTGTAGAAGACCCAAAGCAGCTTAACATGAAATAATCAGCATACAATTATTATTATTATTATTATTATTATTATTATTATTATTATTATATTTACATCCTGCTTTATCTCTCCTGCAGGAGACTCAAAGCGGCCTGACACCAAAGCATCAGCATACAATTTAAATTATTATTATTATTATTACTAATATATATATATATATATATATATATATATATATATATATATATAATATTATTAATAATAATAATAAAAAAAACCCCATTTATACCCCACCTTATCTCTCCTGCAGGAGACACAAAGCAGCCTAACATGAAAGCATCAGCATACAATTTAAATTATTATTATTATTATTATTATTATTATTATTATTATTATTATTATTGTAGTATACATTATTATTATTATTATTATTATTATTTATTATTATTATTATTAATGCCCCTATTTATACCCCACCTTATCTCTCCTGCAGGAGACACAAAGCAACTTAACAAAAACATACAAGCATACTATTATTATTATTATTATTATTATTATTATTATTATATTAATGCTCTGCTTTATCTCTTCTGTAGAAGACCCAAAGCAGCTTAACATGAAATAATCAGCATACAATTATTATTATTATTATTATTATTATTATTATTATTATTATTATATTTACATCCTGCTTTATCTCTCCTGCAGGAGACTCAAAGCGGCCTGACACCAAAGCATCAGCATACAATTTAAATATATATATATATATATATATATATATATATATATATATATATATATATAGTATTATAAGAGACCTCATGAGCCATCCATTTCAACCCCCTGTCCAGAAGCAAGTTCATAGAGAAGCAAGGCTATTGAAAGGACCCCAAAGGCTACCCAGTCCAGACCCATTTGTCCAGACAGGAAAAGGACAATCAAAGCCCCCCCTCCCCAACAGATGGCCATCCAGTCTCTGCTTAATAACAATAATTATAGAATCCTAGAGTTGGAAGAGACCCCCAAAGGCCATCCAGTCTAACCCCCACCTGCCATAAGACACAATCCAAACCCTCCTGACAGGTGGCCATCCAGCTTCAGAGACATTCACAGGGCGAATCCAATCCCCTTCTGCCAGGCAGGGAAAGCACAGTCAAAGCCCCCCTAACAGATGGCCATCCAGCCTCTTTCTCAGTTTCCAAGGAAGGACCTTCCCATTGGACTCTGAGGCAGAGAGTTCCACTGATGAACAGCTGTCCTCATGGTCAGGAAGTTCTTCCTAATGTTCTATTGAATCTCCTTCCCTGTCATTTGAGCCCATGGTTCCATTGAGTCCTAGTCTCCAGGGCAGCTCCCTCTTCCTTATGACAACCTTTCACATGTTTATCCATGGCTCTCATGTCTCTTCTTCTCAACAGTCTCATTACTGGGATTCATGGTCTCCAGACCTTTGGCCAATTCAGTGGCTTAGAGTCAATAATATCCCTCTTGCATTGCTTTGCCCAGAACTGGACACAAGGCTATTGTTCCAAGTGAAGAGGCCTGACCAAAGCTGGAGAGGAGAAGGGCAACAAAGCCATTCTGATGAATAGCCAGCATTTCACTTTTAGGGATCCCCTCTGGACCCCTTCCGAAGCCCACCCACCCCACTCCAGCCTGCATTTATGGGTCTGAAGTGAGATCCCAAGAGAAAGGAGAGTGGAGGACGGGCGGGAAAGCTGCTCACTGGACCGGTCAGAGAGGCACACACTATTAGTAGTACTATTATTATTATTATTATATAAGAGGAGCAACGGCTGAGAAAGGAGAGAGTGGGTCATCCTTGCCTTTGCTTGCTGTTCTCTTCTCCCTTTTGGGATGATGTCAACACTGCAGAAAAGCCACCATGCCTTCTTCTGTGATGGGAAAAGACCTAGAACAGGCATGGGCCAATTTCATCCCTCCAGATGTTTGGGACTTCAACACCCAGAATTCCTAACAGCCTCAGGCCCCTTCCTTTCCCCCCTCAACCGCTTAAACTGGACCAGAACCGCTTAGGGCTTTAAAGGCTTTGAATTGTGCCCAGTAGCAAACTGGCAGCCAGTGGAGCTGGCGCAACAGAGGAGTTGTGCGTTCCCTGTATGCCACTCTTATTAACAACCTGGCTGCTGTCTATTGAACCAATTGAAGCTTCCAAACAGTCTTCAAGGGCAGCCCCATGTAGAGAGCATTGCAGTAGTCTATATGGGATATAACCAGAGCGTGGACTACCGTGGCCAAGTCAGACTTCCCAAGATATGGGCGCAGCTGGCGCACAAGTTTTAACTGTGCAAATGCTCCCCTGGTCACCGCTGAAACCTGGGGTTCCAGGCTCAGCAATGAGTCCAGGATCACCCCCAAACTGCAAACCTGCGTCTTCAGGGGGAGTGCGGCCCCATCCAATACAGGCTGTAACCCTATGCCCTGTTCGGCCTTGTGACTGACCAGGAGTACCTCTGTCT